CCTGGGACGGACAGACTTGGGGTGGGGGCTCACTGGAGCTTAGGGGTTGATGGCTGACAGCATGGGCCCTGGTCCAGTTGCATCACCTAGTAGATGGTGACCTGGAGCCATCACACTCTGTCCCTCATTCTCTTCATCTATAAAAGGGGGATAATAACACACCTCATGGGGTGGTTATTCATCGGACTGGAGGAAGGGGGTTAAACAAGTTCACAGGACATGGCCGGCTAGACGAGGTCTGTTATAGGCTGGGAAGGGTTTCTAGACCTGTAAGTGGAGCTCTCTCTGGCTTTGGGTCCCCCGCACGTTACCAGCTGAGCTGACCTCTAAAGCGTTTGGGGAGGCCCACATGGTGGTTGTATTTCCCCAAATAGTGTATTGCATGTTTTATATTCCCGGCATGGGGAGATAGGGAAGACTGTTCACAGTCTTGTTGGACGGATTTCAAAACACCCATGCACAGAACGTGGAGAGGGATGTCCAGCTCGTGCAGGTGCGGCTCCGTCTAACCCCTTTTCTGCACCCCTCACCTGTTCTGCCGCCACTCAGCTGCCTGGTGTGAAGTGGGACTAGAACCCACGTCCCTCAGTGCTGAAGTCACTGTTCCCAATGCTTCACTTTCCTCCAAAAGAGAAATCTCATTATTTATACCTGTTTATGATGCTTTGACCTGTTCACATGTTTCTTACTACCTGAACGGGATGGAATGTTTGTGGGGTGGCATTTCCCCCCTCCCTGGCACCCTCTCACTCTGACGTCTCCCCTGTTCTCACAGCATACTCGAGTAATCTTTCAGAAACAAATCAATTTGGTCACTCCCACCTCAACCCATGGCTTTTTGCTACTCTTGGGCTAAAGCCACAATCCTTCACGTGTCCTGTTAAGACCGAGTGGTCCACCTGTTACCTCCCTCTCCAGCCTCCCGCTCCCACTCAACCATATGGCCATAGATTAGTCTTATGTGTCACCCTACCAGGGCCTTTGCACCTGCTGTTGGTATTGCTTGGCATTCGGCCCCCTCCCCTCCTCATCTCCCGAACCTCCACGCACCCTCAGCCTGGTCATCACACCCCTGGGAAGCCTCCTCCAATGTGTGCCCCCGTAAGCTGGCCGTGCAGCTCTGAGAATCTCTCCCTGTCCTGTCCTGGACCAGGCCTGTGAGGTTTTATTTGCATGATTATTTGATCAGTGCCCATCTTCCCCACCTCCGGGCATCTCTTTCAGCGTCCCTTTTATCGCTGCTGCCCAATGCGGTGCTTGCTGCATAGAATGTGCTTTGTGAGTATCTGTTGCCTACAAAAAAGACTATTTCATCTCCCAGCACCTTGCACAGAACGGATGAAAACAGTTTTAAAGAGCACAAACAGAATAACAGCAAATGTCACCATAACTATACCGTGTCTTTCAGCATCATTCTAAGAAAAGCCAAGAAAACTTTATTTAATGGGTTAGGCTAATAAAATAAAGCCTTCAGTATCTATTGCCATGGACTAGATGACCCTAGCAGTCAGAAGCAGATGCACCTTATCTGTTTGTCCATCAGCTTACTGAAAATAAAGATCCCAAATAGTTAATCTTAGTATTTCGTATTTATCCCTCTAATATATCATACATTTTTTCCAAATATAATGCTTTATCCACCACGACCCCAGCTTTATGGAGGTATAATTGACAATTGTATGTATTAAAGTATACACCATGATGTGATAATTTGGTCATTTTACAAGGTACACATAAAAGTTACCAGTTTTTGTGTACATGGGATGAAAATTCTTAAAATCTATTCTGTTAAGTAACTTTCAGTGTACAATACGGTATTGTTAACAAGTCACCAGACTGTCCAGTGGAGCCCCAGGGCTTTCTGTAGCTTGGCATGTGCACCCTCCGGCCTGCGCCTCCCACTGTCTGCACCGCGGTCCCTGGCAACCCTGTTCTGCTCCCAGCTTCTGTGCGTGTAACTTTTTGAAATTCCACATAAATGAGATCGTGCAGTATCTGTGCCTGGTTTATCTCACCTCGAATGATGTCCCCAGGTTCATCTATGTTGTCATTTGGCCAAGGAATGGCCACTTTCCTTCTTGGAGATGGATAATATCTTACTGTGTGTACGTGTAGTATACGCACCTTCCCGTTCACCTCTATAGGCCGGTGAGACTGCCAACACAGCTCTCGTGAACACTGCTGAATAAGGGGCTGCAGGTGCCTGGTCAAGAAACTGAGTTCACTTCTTGTGGATATGTGCCCCGCAGCGGGACTGCTGAATCATACGGTAGTTGCAATTTTAATTTTTGGAGGAACCTTCTATTTTCCATAATGCCTACACTAATTCATACTTCCACCGAGAGTCCTCAAACGTTCCTTTTTCTCCACCTGTTTACCGATAGTTCTCCCTTTTCTTTTCATAGTAGCCATTCTAACAGGGATACTGTTTCATCGTGGTTTTGATTTGCGTTTTCCTCATGACTAGCAATGCTGATAACGTCTTCACATCCCTGTGGGCCATGCAAAGGTCTTCTCTCGAGAAATGTCTGTTCACATCCATCGTCCATTTCTTAATCAAAACAGAAAAAGATTAAGAAAACATTAGTGGGCTTTAATACATTGCAATAGAAATGAACCAAAATAAATATTTTAAAAATAAAGACATCCTCAGTAGGCTGTGGAAGAGCTTCAAAGGACTAGTTTGCAAGTATGTATAATTAGATTCTTTCAAGGAGTGAGGGGTACAAAACATTTGGGGGGAAATAATGGCTGAAAACTTTCTGAATTATGAGATAACTATAAACCCCCAGATGAAGAATGACAGACTCCAAGCACATGACACAGAAAGAAAATGACACTCTGGCACGTCTTGCTTGTTGCGACCGCATAAATGATCACGCGAGACACGGATTGGCAATACACACTGCAAGAGGTGAAGCTGCACACCCATGGGTGCAGCTTAGCCCCGAGCACTTCTCCCAGAGTCCTTTTGTTGAGAAGATACATAATAGGCGGAAAGATTACTCAGCAAAGACATGAAGGGGTCGTGTGCTCAGGGAAATGATCTCATAGGTGCCTGCAGAGTATGTACTCAGGGAAATGATCTTCAAGGGTGGTAAGGAAATGATCTTCAAAATACTAAATGCAATTTTTCTCCACTAATCCTTTAAGAAACTGTCATAAAATGCTTAATGTTTAACAATGGCCTTACTACTACTGAACTTTGCTCCTCCAGGATTACTGAGTTACTTGGTGGCTTGCCTTCCGGGTCACAAGAGATTTCCAAGGCCTGCCAGGAGAATGTCTTGTTCTCAGTAATTCCTCAGATGAGTTATGATATTGGTGGCTGTTGTAGTGTGTGTGATGTTGAATCTTCTATACACGCTCAATCGCTCAAAGCCACAATGAATGCGATCTGATTCTCCTGTACAGTCTCTGGACCTTTTCCTTGCCTGTTTGGAATGTCTGGTACAATGTGAATGCCAGAGGCAAGGGCACGTATTCTGCACTGTGGCTGAATTTACAGGAAAGCATTCCGTATTTCTCCATGAAGTATGATGCCAGCTAGTTGTAGGTTTTCTAGAGATGCCCTTTACCTGATTGGGGAGGTCCCTCTTATTCTCAGCTCACCAAAGCTGTCCATGCTGAGTGTCTTCTCATAAGTCTCCTGGACACTTATGTGTCTCCTTTGGAGAAATAGTTCTTCAAGTCCTTGGGCCATTTTTAATCTTTTGTTGTTGTTGTTTGTTTGGCAATGCAGATGTAGGAATTCCTTGTACACCACAATCCCTTCATAGACACATGGTTGCAGATTTTTCTTATTCCATAGGCTGCTCTTTTGCTTTGTTGGTTGTTTCCTTTGCTGTTCAGAGGATTTTTGGTTAAATATTGTCCCACTTGTTTATTTTTGATTTTTTTTTCACTATGCTTTTGGTGTCCCGTTTAAAAAATTTCATTGTCCAGCTCAGTGTCAAGGACTTTTTTCCCTATGTCTCTCTCAGAAGTTTTATGATTTCAAGTCTTATGTTTGAGTCTTTAATCCATTTTGAGTTAATTTCTGTCTGTGATGTAGGGTAAGGGTCCAACTCCGTCATTTCACGCGTGGATAGCCACTTTTCCCAGTGCTGTTTATTGAAGAGACTCTGCTTTCCACGTGTGACCCTGGCAGCCCCGTCAATGGCACGTTCAGCTGTCTGGGTTTGTTGCTGGGCTCTCTGTCCTGCAGTCACACCTGGGAACCCTGGCAGCCCCGTCAATGGCACGTTCAGCTGTCTGGGTTTGTTGCTGGACTCTCTGTCCTGCAGTCACACCTGGACCCAGCTCCTTTTCTCCTGCAGCTCAGATCTCGGGTGTGGGCAGTTCAAACGGGTTCTTCCAAGTGCCCACCTTGGAAGGTGGCCTGGAAACCCTCTGGCGGGTCCTGAGTCCCTACCAGGTAAGGGAACATTGCTGTGCAGTTGGGAGAGACAGAAAGATGCTATGTGACATTGGCTGGAGAACCGAGGTGGGAATAGGGGACTGTCGTTAGCTGCCTTTGGGAGGCCTGGATTTGGCTGTGTGTGCTCTAAAAATCCAGGATTCGGAGCAAGGCAGCCTGGACAGCGGTCTGAGAGTGCAGGCCGAGAAGGGCAGAGGGGCGGGAACTTCCCCTTAGAGAACCCGGGAGAGGGGCTTTCCCCAGGACTCCAGCTAGGCCCACTCTGGAGCTGAGATAAAGGGAGAGGAGGACGGGGTGTCTGAGCTGGACTGTGAGCCGGACTGTTTGTACAGATTTCCCGACAAACGCTCCACGTCAAGCTAAAGTGGATCTTACCCACCCAGTAGTAACTGAGGCGGGATAATTCGGGCTCCCCTAGGTGGGGACCTGGAGGTCACCTCAGCCTTTAGGTGTTGGTGACAATAGTGACTGAGCTGGGGGCCCCTTCCCGGTGTTTTTGCCACGTTGTGACCCACCATTTGCAGACCGCGGGGCAGAGGCCACAGCGTTCTCACCCCTCCCTGTCGCCCTCTCCCACCAGGAATCCGAGGGCGTTTCCTGCCACTACTGGTCACTGTTCGACGGTCACGCGGGGTCCGGGGCGGCCGTGGTGGCATCGCGCCTGCTGCAGCACCACGTCACGGAGCAGCTGCAGGACATCGTGGACATCCTGAGGAACTCGGCCGTGCTGCCACCCACCTGCCTGGGCGAGGAGCCGGAGCACACGCCGGCCGGCAGCCGCGCCCTGACCCGGGCGGCGTCCCTGCGTGGCGGCGTCGGGGCCCCTGGCTCGCCCGGCACCCCGGCCACGCGCTTCTTCACCGAGAAGAAGATCCCGCACGAGTGGCTGGTGGTCGGGGCTCTGGAGAGCGCCTTCAGGGAGATGGTAGGTGTCACTGCGTCCGGGTGGCTGCCACCTGCGCCTCCTTCTCTAACGGGGCTCTGTGCTCAGCAGGGCCTGGCGGCGAGACAGAGGTCTTAGCTCTGAGCGCCAGTAGAAATGTAAAAGATTAAAGAAGGGACAGTACCTGAGGTCACGGGCTTATTAAATAGGGGCCCCACGTCCCTTTCTCCACACTGTCCATGCCAGCCGAGCCACTGCCCTTGACTGGAGTGTGGCCGCTGTTGGCTGCGCACAGAGTACAGTGGGGTGTGGGGTCCGCGGAATTGAGGGACCTGCTCAGAAGTGCCTTCCTGCCCAGACCTCCTCTGGGCAGGGCTGTCACGTCGGTGGGTAACAGTCCAGGTCCCACTGTTGGCAAAGGACCAGCAGTCGCTGCAGGGGACCAGGCCTGGGGGCAGATCCGAGAATCGTTTGTTTGGCCTGGGCACGTGGCTTCGCTTTAGAGTGAGCGGGTCCCCTGTCGGCCCACTGAGCGGGAGGAGAAAGCTGCAGCCTGAGCAGCCGGCTCTGTGCCGGGCTTCCCTCTCTGGGGCATCTCACCCTGTGCTTCTCTGTACCCCCGTTCCTCCCTATATCCCCCGATGCCCCGCCCTGGGCCAGCAGCCGTCAACCAGCTGTGCTGTTTCACCTCCTTCCCTCTGTGGGCTCATTTCCTAAGGCAATTATTTTGGTTCCAAAGATTTCCTTTGGGGGGGCGGGCAACCTGCATATGGGTGAAGAGTGAGAGATCCTTGAGGTGTGTATATGAACTGAGTTAGGGCTTTGAGCTGGCAGGTTGGAATCCAGCCCAGGCCTGCCAAACAGTAATGACAACTACAACCAAAAAATAGTCGGGTTTGTGGCAGGCGCCTATAGTCCCAGCTACTTGGGAGGCTGAGACAAGAAAATCACTTAAGCCCAAGAGTTTGAGGTTACTGGTGAGCTGTGACACCCCTGCACCCTACCAAGAGCAACAGTGAGATTCTGTCTCAAAAAAAGAAAAAAAGAACTGAGTTCGGTGAGTGCATGGTAATGTCCTTAAAACAGGGAGATCAAAAAGCAGTGACAAGTTGTTAAATGCAGCCAGAGCAGCTGAAGGCATCTCACCAAAGCTGGGTGTCCACATGGCACACTGCAGGATCTCACTATGTCAGGCCACGTACAGGGAAGATTTGCCTGCCAGGCAAAGACATTCCTGGAGTCACAGCTCAGATTGCACCCTCTCTGTCCTTCATGGACCCCTGCTCTTCTCTCCTTGGTACTTAGATAATATTTACCCTTTGACCAGCAGGTGGTTTCAAACACACCCCTGCCAGGTGCTATGGCAGGACTGGGGGGCAGCTGCTTGGAAGGCTGAGGCAGGAGGATCGCTTCAGCCTACAAGTTCTGTGCTATGGTACACTATGCCAGCTGGGTGTCCACAGTAAGTTCAGCATCACTGCAGTGACCTCCTGGGATTGAGGGACAACCAGGCTACCTAAGAAGTGAACTGGCCCAGGTCTGAAACAGAGCAGGTTGGAACAGAGTGGGTTGTGTGGTGAATAGCCACTGCACCCCAGTAGGGGGTTGTGCAGTGAATAGCCACTGCACTCCAGCCTAGGGGACAGGGGGAGCCTCTTCTCTTAAAAATATTTAAAAAATAAAATAACTGCACTTCCATCTCATGAATTTCTAATGGCCTTCAGCTCTGCAATCCCAATAAAAACACCAGCATGCTGGAAAAGATTTAGGGGAAAAAAAATCAAGGTCGGAAAATTGGTTCCTATACACCAGGCGTCCTCAAACTACAGCCCGCGGGCCACATGTGGCCAGCTGAGGATATTTATCCAGCCGGACGGGCGTTTTTGCCGCTGCTGCCTGTCCTGCTTAGGAGCTGACCCGTCCCAGGGCCCGCAGTCCGGCCCTCCAACAGTCTGAGGGACAGTGAACTGGCGCTCTGTTTAAAAAGTTTGAGGACCCCTGCTGCACGCTTAGCCCTTATAGAACCTCTGATGTGAATAAATGTTTCTAGATGATAGTGCTAATTAGAACACTAATTTTTTAAGTTATTTAGGGAAAAATGTGACAAAAGGTTCTCCCTATAATGGGAGAGGAAAGTTTATATGGTAGAAGTGGAAAATAAAGGAAACTGTAGTATCATGTCCTTGTTAGGACCAGTCTGCAGCCCAGGACGCCTTTTACCGGGAACTGCTGCATTCCCCATTCTCTCCACTAGAGGCCAATGTCACACAGACTCAGGTCTCTGCAAGGGTCTCAGGCGGTTCCTGCCTGCTAATGGCTGAGGGTTTGCTGGTATTACAACAGTGCTTGGAAAGAGGTAAGGTCAGAAAGATACTTAGTAAAGAGGCTTGTTCTTGTCTTTTAATTGTTTCCAACTTACTATCCAGTTTATTACTTGAAATTTTTCTTGGCAACTTAGAAAAAAATTGTTTGCTCCACTTTCATGTAATTTGTTCCATAAATTTGTTGAGAACCAGCTGTATACCAGCATGAATGGGAAGAGCATGGAACAGATTAGACAAAGATGGGTATTAAGATGTCAGAGGCCCTGAGTGAGAGAGATGAGGGGGCGAGAGAGAGAAATAGGCTGAATTTGGGACGACTGGGAATTGAGACTGGGAGAGATCAGGGAGTGGGTGCCGTGTTCACACACTGTTGACCGGCAGTTTTACACAGAAACTCTCCACGTCACCGGGTAACTCGTGACGGCCAGCAGTGTGTTGAGTCAGAGACTACTGGAGGGAGGAGGCTGGAGTGGGGAAGAGCAGGGTGAAGTGGGGTCTGCAGAGGGAGGAAAGGGTTCGCTGGGGGTGATACTGGGGCGGGTGGGAGTAAAGCAGGGGAAACGGGGCAAGGAAACTGAAGGAGCCAGTCAGAGAGCCCAGGTGGCCAAAGGCAACAGCTGACGTCTGCTGTGGTCAGAAGGTAGATTCTGAGGTGAGGAATGGGGCGGGTTGGAGGTCCTGGGGCCCAGCTGTGGTGGGCCAGGTGTGCCAGATGACAGAACTTGAGCTTTGAGCCACCTCCCTTCTCGTTTTTTCCTCTCTAGCCCACCCGCACCACAGCTCCCTCTCCACACTCTTTCCCCAGATTGGCTCGAGGCCCTACCTGCCGCTGCCGACCTGGACTTTGGCCCGTGGCACACGGCACCTTGAGAAGCTCATCAGTTCTTTGGTCCTCATGACACTTGCCAGGGTGACCATACCTTACGCTGTAGTACTAGGAACTAAGCTGGTTGATGGCCGGGTCATTGCATATGTGGGTGTAGTGCCAGAGGGTGAGGCCGAGGAGGTTCTCACGGGATTCCGACAGACCGAAGCCCTTTATTTGGCTTGTGGTGGCCAGAGAGCAGGCTTGGGGACATCTGCCTTTATCCAGCTCCTGGGAGCCTATGAGGCGGCATAGGAAATCTTCCCCACAGAGGGATAGCCTCAGAGCCGTATAGTGGCCTCCAACCAAGCGCTGATGACGGTTACTTAAGATAACACACACCTGCACCTGCCCCTGCCGGCTTAATCGTGGTTACTCAGAACAATCTGGCCCCTGCTGGCCTTCAGTTGAGAAGGCCTAAGAGACTCTGCCCCACCTTCCACCCCTTTAGGGTTTCTCATCTCACAATCTACCCTTCCCCAAGGGTCCCTGTTAAAGGAGCGTGGAGCATTGTGTCATATGCCACCACAGCAATGCACGCTACAATAGCAAGTATAGCACCAGGGACACCAGACAAGACCGTGGCCCATTTATGTTCCTACCCAGCAGGCAGGAGACAGCCATGTGGCCACGGGGCATCATCTCCCGAAGGGGTGGTGTCTCACCACCAGGCTTTGGCCAGGGAGTCTGCTTCATCATTACCTCATGGGCCAGTGGAGCCTGCCCACTGATGTGACACCATCACCCGTTTCTCATGTCCCAACTCCCACAACTATTGCGGGGCCTGGGCCCACAACAGCCTGTGAATAACCACCCAGTGGTTTAGTGCCCCATGGCCTTCCACAGGGTCAACCCCTAACCCAGCCGTCTGGACAAGTCACTAGCAGGACAGCTCACTAGCACCCACTGGCCTGCTGCTCTGCACTCAGCCCCTCGCTGCTTTGCCCGGCCCCTGTGTCAGACCAAATAGTTTTTATTGGCGAGTGGAAGGCTATTGCTGTCACTGCTCAGGCTGACCACAATCCATCAGTGTACTATACAACCTCAAAAACCAGTGTGTACCCCTCCTCAAAGGGGAGCTTTCTACACCCCATCATCTGTACAAGTCACCAGATCCAATACTTCCTGCCCAGCCCGTGATGGGCTGAGGCTGAGGGCACCCGAGGTGTTTGCTCACCAGTGGCCCCAGGTCCATTCTCCTGCCTTATGCTCTCGGGCGCCCAGGTCATCAATGGTGCTGGATACCTCATTTATTGGTCGCTCTACATAAAGTGCCGGTAGTAACACCAAGGACCCACACAGGGCGGAGGGTGCACTCTGCGACGTGGCATCCCCCATACCAGCTGTAAAGCATTCGGGATCAGTCCTGGGATACTGAAGCTAAACATGGCATTCCGTGTGCCCAGTTCCGAGACAACCTGCTGCAGTTTCAAACAGGACTGCAGAGACTAAGAGGGCCTGGCAGGTCCCCAGCATGCAGACCACGGCCATGACTGAGTCCAACTGGAGTGGGCACCGTGCTGTACCGGTGGCAACTGTGAGCACTGCCGCAGGAAGGTGTGTCGTAACAGAGGCTGGTTTCTCCATCTCTGGGGCACCCAGGACAATGCCCTCCACCCGTAGATCACATAAAGCAACATCCCAGCAGGCAGGGACTCATTTTCTGCCTAAACTGTTCCCTCAGCTCCACAATTTCTTCTGGGAATGCAGATGAAAGGCAGGATGTCCTGTCACTTGTGGGGGTGCAGCTACCCCCCGCCTTGGCCCTTGGTTGTTGCATTTTTACCTTTTCTGTTACCACTGGCTGTGCCCGAAAGCAGGGCTCACCCTCCTCTTCCAAGGATCCTACCACC